GGAATGGCTGTGCTTGGTCAAGGGCAGAGGAGATGGGGAAGTTACTGGCTGACTTGAGGATGAACCAGCAACACCGCAATTTCTCGGATCTGTAAGCAAACGGTGCCCGTCATCATTCCTGTCTTACTGGCCTGGGCCTGGGCGTGGGAGGAGAGAGCGCTGGCCCCATCTCGGCTCCTGAAGACAGATGTGGCTGCAGAGGTGTGAGCCTGGGGACGGGTAGAGTCCGGTTTTTTCCTCCAGGAAGTGGAAAGGCAGTTTATCTGAAAGCTCAGCGGTGACCTTCCTGACCTGGCAACCTGTGTCCTGCTGCTTCCTGGGGCAGGGTCGGAGGGGGTGGGCAGGAGGGCACGTTTGGGAAGGCTGCTTGCCCACCCTGGCGGTGGGGCACGCCCCCTGGAGCATGGGGCATCCGGAGCCGATGCCCAGGGAACTAACAGCCTCTCTCCAAGGGCTGGCGGGAGGGGCTCGCGGGGCCGGGGGAAGCATCTGGACTCGCTGTGTGGTCGCTTCCCATGAGCTCAGGGTGCCCCAGGAGGAGAGATGGTGATCCTTCCTGGGAGGTAGGATGAAGCCGAAAATGCTTCTTAGTGGGAAAAGCTTGGACCCAAGGGGGCAGGGAAGGGGAGCTGGGGGGCCAGCCGGGGAGGGTGTGGCCTGGGCATGTGCCACGTCGGGGGCTCAGTGGGACGCAGCCACAGTGCTCCAGCCGGACCCTGGTGGAGAACCTGCACTGTCCTGAGCGCCCTGACCAGCCCTGCTGGCCGGGCGCACCTCAGGTCCCCACTGGGGGGCTTCTGGGTGGCATCCCCCCACCCCCAGACCTCCAACCTGGGCATGTGGATTCTTGAGGGCAGCCTGGGAGGAAAGGAGGAAGGCTCTAACCTATAGACCGCGGAAGCTTGAGGTATTTCGAGCAGCTCAGCCGCGTCTGCCTGTCCGCAGACATGAAAGCAAAACCTCCTCCTGGCCTGTGGGTGTGAGGCCCACAGGTGCTGGGCGGCCAGAGAGAAGACGGCCACCTGGATCCAGTCCAAGGAGGGGAGGCGAGGGGCACTTCCTGTCATCTCCCTGGAACGCTGGGCCTGGAGGAGCTAGCACTGCATCCAGGCCCTCCTGCCTCGAAAGAACGTCCCTCGTCCCAGCACTCCTGCCGCCCCAGGGCTATTGGCTGGTACCTGGGACTGAGCCAGTGCCGGCCCCCTCCATCCTTCCTTCAGAGGGCTATCCTCTCCTTTGTCCTGGCTCATGGGTTCACCCAAACACTGGCTGTTTGACCCCCAGGGCCCCTTCGGCCGTCAGGCTGCAGCAGGTGTTGGGGCCAAAGGTGAAGGAGATGGGGGGGCCCACCTGGGTGCCCCGGGCAGGGCAGGAGGTGGGGGGGGGCAAAGAGCCCTCCCTGCCGTGCTCAGGCTGGTTCTCCTGGGTGCAGCTCAGGTGAGATAGAGGAGGGTTCAGGGGTCAGCCCTGCCCTGGAGCCTAGGGGAGGGCCCCAGCCTAGGCAGGGCTGGCAGCTTGAGATCTGGAGTGAGGCTCTGTGGGCCAAGCTGAGTGGCTGCAGGACAACTTGGGCCTCCGGCTCCAGCTCCAGGGCATTTCTCAGGGGTCTCCCGGGCAGCTGAGCCTCAGTTTCCCCGCCTGAGGATGTGGGGGCTCAGCAGACGCCTGCACATGCCCCCCATGACCCCCTAACGCGCCCGCTCGTCGTCCCGCAGCCACCGAGGCAGCTCCCGGCAGCGTTGGCGACATGGCCGACACCCCCAGAGACGCCGGGCTCAAGCAGCCGCCCGCGCAGAGGAACGAGAAGGCCCCCGTGGACTTCGGCTATGTGGGGATCGACTCCATCCTGGAGCAGATGCGCAGGAAGGCCATGAAGCAGGGCTTCGAGTTCAACATCATGGTGGTCGGTGAGTCCCCGGTCCCCACCACTGCTCAGCCTGCCCCCGGGCCAGCCACACAGGCTCCGGGGCATCTTCTCTTGTAAAACGGGGGCGACAGAACTGGCCTGCAGGACAGACTGCGAGCGGCATTGTGTGTGTGTGTGTACGCGTGCCCGCCAGGAGGGTCTCAGCCTCCATCAGCTCCTCAGCAGGGCCTCTGCCCATTACATTAAGAACCCCGGAGACAGCTCGGCCCCGGGCCGGGCAGGGGCTCAGGAGACGACAGCTCTCTGACCAGTGGCCTCCACCTTCTGCTTTTACCTTCTGCTGAGGCATACCCATCGCTGTGGCTCAAGCCCTGGGTGGGCTGACCCCCGCACCCAGCAGGCCTGGCTGGAGGCTCCCCTGTGGCCTCTGCAGAGCTGGATGGATGGTCACGGGGAGGGGGTGGTCATTGATCAGCCCGGCCCAGACAGGGTTGGGGGGCTAAGCTGGGGGAACAGTGGGCAGCCCTTGTTCCCGAAGACTCTCAGGTCCTGTTCAGTCCTCACAGTAACCCTGTGAAGGGAGCACCCATTTTACAGGCGGGCATGATGAGGTCATTCAGCTCACAATCCGGGCTCCACGCCTCCGCCCTCCTTCCCACAGCAGTGCCCCTGCAGAAGATGCAGCCAGGGTGGAAGGGCGCCTGTCGGGGGGTCTGCAGACAGGGGGAGAATCCCAGCCTTGCCCCTCCTAAGCTGCCTGATGCTTGCCCAGACTCCCCTGGGGTTTGTCTCAGCCTCAGTTTCCTCATCCATAAAATGGGATAGTCCTGGCCCCCAAGGGCCAGGAGGGGCACATGGGAGAACGGTTTCGGCCCCTGGCATGGTCATGGCACGCAAGAAGATTTCAGAAGCAATTATGAGGATGGTGGTAATAAAAATAATAATAATTACAGGATAAACTTTATAATATCCTGGTTGGCATCTCCCAGGTGTCAGGGGCCATGGCTGGAATATTTGATGTAACCCCTGGCCTGAGCTTGGTGGGGACACAAAACCATTGGGCAGAAGGGGAGATGGTAAAGGAGGAGGGCCAGTCCTCGGGCTGGTAAACAGCTCAGGCCAGGGATTCCCAACGCCACCCTCTGGGGGAGCCACACTTTTCCTTGAAAGGTTATCAGAGTTGGAAAATCAGTGTGATTTAATTTTTAAAAATAACGTTGGTTACCATGGCCTAAGGCCAGCTCAGCGCAGAGGCAAAGCGATGGGGCTCCAAGTCTGGAGTGTGTGAGCCTGTGTGCATGCATGTGGGGGTGCGTACATGTGTGTGCACGTGTGCATGGTGCTGAGGTGTGCCCGGTGCGTAGTAGGCATCTTATAAGCGTCAGTGGCCATTGCCGCTATTAACCCCCAATGTGGAAGGTCCTGGCTGGGGCCCTGGAGCTGGACTACTGCTTCTAATCCTCAGTCTGGACTTGGCCTCAGTTTTTCTCATCTGTCTGATGGGCTAATGACAGCACCTGGTTGTGAGGGTTAAACTGCCGCTCTTAGGACAGTGCCTGGCGCACAGCCAGGGCTGCGTGGGTGGGACGTGGGGCGCCAGCAGCGAGGCGGACCCTAGATTCAGGGTGATTTAGAGCAGGAGGGGCCTTCCAGTCGCGACTGAGTCCAGGTCCCCTCCCTGTTGTGCCCTCTGCCCTCGTCCCTCTTGCTGTAGGAGGGGACTGTGGGTGACGTGAGGTTTGGGCTCACAGCCAGGCCAGAATCGCTTCTGGGGCCACACCGGGGGGGGGGGGCGGCGGATGCCCCGGGGGCTCCCTGGCCCCCCCCCCCCCCCGCTGCCCAGC